AAAAAGAAACCCCGGGGGCGCCAAAAGACATACCCCCCCCCCTGGAGGGGGGAGAAGAGAACACCGAACCCCCTTTAAATGACAGAGGTTAAGTTTTTCAAAAATTAAATATTTAATTTTTTCCATTTTTCCCAAAAAAAAAAAGAGGGGCTGATTTTGGGGGTTTTTTTTAGTTGTGCGACGTGACACACAAATTTTAAAATTTTTTTTTTTTTTTTTGGAAACAGAGAGGAGACAGGAAAAATCCGGGCGAACCTTGCGCAGTCCGGTTTTTTTTCAATTGTCTTTTTTTAGTCATTATTATTTATTTGGTGCAGAATCATGTTATGTATTAAAACTAAGGTTTTATCACTGTTATGTTTGAATTGGCTCAAAGTTACGTAATGTTACTGTATGTTGATAACGTTTGCCTGTTCACATAATATCAACTAGGTTTGTTTTATATGTGGGGGGGCTGGTAGTGTCCCAACGCTGAGACCAAACCTTCACCTTTGGGATAGAAAGTCCTGTGAATGAAATTACATAGATACAATCCCCCAATGTTCCCAATCTATAAAGATAGTAAATCACTATCAACTTTCTATTCAAATATACAGATATCATACATTATTTCTGTCTACTAAATGAATTCTTTAAGCAGAGAAAAGTGTCTCTTTGTGGGCGTCCACGTCGTTCTGTGGCTTCAGATGTTACTTTTCTTTTTCTGCACTTACAAACTTTGTTTCCTGTGGATCTTCTCTGCACACATCACAACACCTGCACTGCTCACTGAGAATACCACATAACACCGCTGCTGTAAGGTAACCACTTCCCAACCTAAGGTGGTTCATGGTTCACCGTGTTATTTATTACGTTTGCAGCCCTGTTTTCATGCGTTCACTAGATGGCACTCATAAGCAGCGATTCAGCCTTTTGCCAAATCCTCTTATTGTGCCAAACGCTCACGCAGCCAGTTTGCAGGAAATCACGTGACTTATGATAAATTGGCAAATCCAACCAAAGCGCGGCGCTGTTACACTGTCTCAAAGGACTCTGCACCGGTCAGGGCTGTTGTGTCTTTTCTAAACTGACACAGGATCAGTTTCTGTTCACCACATTTTGCTCTCTGAAGTCAAACACATAAAACAAGATCAGTTTTTTGGTATTACCTTCCTGTATGAACTGGAAATGTCCTTTAAGGTGTGATTGATTGAATGCGTTTCCCTTATTAACTGAGGAAACCACACAGCGACGTAGTAACACTGTGCTGCACTAATGTTGGGGTTTACCCGTCTATTACATAATGCTACAGCTCCCTGCTCAGTCCAAAGGACATGGTTACTTTTACTTCATCCACAACAGTATCACGACTTATCTAAAGGACTCATTTTCATATGTATTAAAGATCAATAGTTGCACGTGCACTTTTGAAAACCCTTTTTGTAGCATCACGTTTGACCTTTTTCTATTGAAACGCTTCTGTCATCAAAATGAGACGAGGTGTGGAAAAGACGCTGCATCAGTGTCACTTCTGTTGTGCTTTACGCTGCATCACTTGCTCTTTCTAAAGAAGAGAAGCCTCCATTATGTGCCAGTGAATGTGAATATGTGCCGATCTATCCTGTGACTCAGTCACAAGAGCTCGAGCTGGTTGTGTCTTGGATGAGTCAGGTGCTCAACGGATGCACAACACGGCACAGAAGGTGAAAGCAAGAAGAGCTCAGCACTCGGTGGCTCACAACGAAAGCTGCTCAGCGCATCCGCACAGCCAAAGACACACATTTACAGAATGCACTATATAGGTGACAAAAGGTTTCAGGATGCACATTCATCTTTTCTAGACAAGGCCGCAATCACAATCATCTGTATTTTAAATTCACCCTTTTTTTCCAATGTTCAACTCACGCTGACGGCCATTTTGGGTCTGTGATGAGACGATGTCACTAAGATGGCGTGTGCCTTTTGCCCTTTTTTCTAACTCCACGCCTCCTGCCATTGGAACCTGCAGGCAGCACTCAGGGTTGTAGATGGGAAGCAGCCAAGTTCATGATAAGTCTGTGAGCCGGGGTGTATCTCCAAAGCGTCACCTTCATTAGAATGATGAATAATAATTCGTCCATAGCAGAACCAGACTCACAGTGAAGCGTGTGATTATTAATCAAGTAGGGGGATACAAATGTTTTAAATGTACATTTAAATACAGTAAACTGGGTGGGTGTTCATGTCATAGACCCATTCATTTAGGAATCCCTCACACTCATGATGCATGACGTTATAAAAGTCTTGCAGGAGTCCAAGAGAAGCAACAGCGGCACGTGTGTGGACACGTGACTTCAGTCCCCATTTTGTGGAGACGTCTCAACAAGATGGCGGTTAACGTTGCCGATGCTGAGCCTGAGCTTTGTCAATAGAGGGGGTTGGTGTTTTGGCACAACGCCTGATGTCACTTCCGTGTTTTTATGAAATGTCACCAGGCAACTTTCCAAAAAGCCTCACTGACAGAAGCAAACAAAGGGCTGGTAGTCCGGGGCTTTCCAGGTCGCTCACACAACAAAGACACACCTCAAGTCACAGTCAGACCAGAAATACAAGGACCAAACAAACACTAAAACGCCTCAGACTACTAACCAGTATAACCAATTCACAATCACCACGATAATAGTAAAATGTATTAAGTGCTTCCCTCCTTTTCACTGCACGGCGCGACTCCGTGTGACTCATGAATAAAACCTGCAAACTCTGCTAAACCCCATGAACATTGTACCATGGAACTTAATATACTTTGCTTTGACTTTGTCCCGAATGAATGAATTAACTTTATTCATTAAGCACTTTACATGCACAGAATTCAGCATAAAGGGATTTACACATTTTTAAATACCATGTGCGTCATATGAAGGGGCAGCCGGGCTGTTCAGCGCCCTACAATATAAGGAAGTACTTTTGAATCAAATCCTTGGGGAGAGACAGTGTGAGTTGTGTTATCTGATTTTATTTTGTGTTGAAACCCTGCCAGCAGCATTCTGTAGCTTTACTGCTTTTGGTAGATCGGCATGAAAAGGGTTACAGAATCATGCTTGAAGGAGGCAGTTCTGGTCAATGAATTATACTGAGCTTTACAGTCCAGGTCCATATCTGTAATCATTTATTAATCTAGTTTGACTAATTCATAACATCCAATGTCATTTCAACAAACTAGATAAGAACAGAAGCATAGTAATAGAGTTGAGGAGGTTCCACGTCTTTTAACTGAAAATCATTCTTTTATTTTTAATATTCACACAACATTTACATAATGAATTTATAAAGGTATGTTTGTACATGTTCAGTACGTCTGTGTCCAACGTGGTCCCACAGAACCACCGTCTCACAGACGGGTCCAGGGTGACAGCGGTGGGTCACTGTGCTGGATTTTCCTCTTCAAAGAGCTCCTCCCTCAGTCGGTAGTAGCTCCCCTTCAACTCCATCAGTTCCTGGTGAGTCCCTCGCTCCTGAACTCTGCCGCCATCGATCACAACAATCTGATCGGCCCTCTGGATGGTCCTCAGCTTGTGGGCGATCACCAGCAGGGTCTGGTTAGGACAACTGGCCAAAGCCTGGTGAATCTGTGCAGGGTCAAGGACACACATATTCCTCTTTCAGTGCTTCTCTGTGTTGTTGAGTTGGTGAGAGCAGAGTCAAAGGGGGGGGCAGAAAAAACATCCATCCATCTGCAAACCGCTTATCCTGCACACAGGGTCACATGGGGGCTGGAGTCTATCACAGCCAACTTCAGGCAATAGACACGGTTCACCCAGTATGGTTGAAAATGTATCTACTTTTCTTGTATATTTGATTAAATGTTTATCTTCATCGCTCAATGCTCATCAATTAATTGAGCAATGATGTGTGCAGCACTTTGTCTCTACTGCACATAAATACTTAGAAGTGATTGATACAGAACTTGTCTGAAATACACAGCCAGGGACTTCTGGCCCTGAGGGATGTTAAGACGTACCTTGTTTTCACTGGTCATGTCCAGAGAGCTGGTTATTTCATCCAGAATGAGGACCTGTGGCTGCCTGACCAGAGCTCGAGCGATGGCGATCTGCTGCCTCTGGCTCTTAGATAGTTGGCCCCCACCCTCACCCACCTCTGAGAAATGGACATCATGAAACCACAACGGATTGAGGTGAGTCGCCCGGGTTGGACCCTGACTGAGCACTGCTGGCCCTGTTGTCACCGTGTGCGTCGCTCAAGCTGATGCGAGATGCTCACGATTATGCTGCGTTTGTCTGTAATACATGTAATACTTGACTGGGTTCTTTACATGGCTCATAGGCAATAAAGCAGTTCCTCCAATGTGAGGGATGACTTTACTGATAATTCCTCCTGGTCATTGTGGAGGTTAGTCTGTGGCTTTTTACAGGTTACACTTGCATCCTCCATGATTGACACTCGTTACCTTTTTGATTCTTCACGGTTCATTTTGTTTATTTTCCCTAAGTTCCAGCATTAATCTCTACTAATGATGTATTCTTTGCTTTTCTTTTTAACAGTAAAAAAAGGTTACCTGCATCGTAGCCCTTCTCCAGCTTCATGATGAAGTCGTGTGCGTTGGCTTTGCGTGCTGCTTCCTGGATCTCATCCAATGAGCATTCAGCGAGCCCGTAGGCGATGTTGTCTCTGATGGAGCCAGAGAAGAGGACAGGCTCCTGGCTCACCAAAGCAATCTGTCAATCACACTCATCAGCCTTCAGTTCCCAGGACCCCTCTGGCCTCAAGGTATCGGTGCATGTATGGTTTCTAACTGATGTTTCTTGTTGCACTTTCCACTTGTCAATGTAACCGTTGTGGTACTAAACTAAAAAAGGATATTATTTTCCCAATATGATATTAAATTAAAAACAATTTAAACACAGATAAGAGACAGAAATTGTCCAAAGCAGGAGAGTGGTTTGCGTGATCAAAGCCGTAATGCTGAATCACCTTCTTGTGGAGGAAACGGTGGTCATAGGATTTCAGTGGTTCGTTGTCCAATAGGATTTCTCCGTCCTGCTGCTCATAGAAGCGCTGCAGCAGACTCACACATGTGCTTTTCCCTTTTCCAGATGTTCCCACCAGCGCTGTCATCTGACCTGACTTCAGCTCCAATGAAAAGTCCTAAAAGAGGAGATGAAACAGAAAATAGTTTTGTTTTTGTAGCTTATTGTACATTAATTTATAGGCAGCTGTAGATACTGAGGGAACCCTTGTGTACATTTACTTTAGCTTGTCACTTTCTATACTCATCCCGTTTTTCCGCTACTGAAATTCATGCTAAAGAAGTCCCCTCTCTGGCGGCATGAGCTCACCTGCAGTACTGTTTTGTCGGGGTAAGTAGGATAGGCGAAGCTGAGATTGCGGAAGACGACGTTCCCTGTCAGCTGATCCGGTTTGAGTTTCCCCTCCATGCTGACCTGAGCTTTACGGTCCAGGTACTCAAACACTTTCCCAGCAGCCCCCACCGAGTTCAGCATGTCGCCAAAGATGTAGGTCAGTGTCTAAAAAGAACATGAAACTGAGCACTTGATGACGTCATTTTTACCTTTATATAGTGAAGGCGGAATGTTGAATAGGAATATTTATGCATGCAATCATGTGTAGTCTTTTAAACTGAGAGCCAAATATCATAACACATGATAACCCAACATGACACCACAAAGAGTTTGTTTCTATCATCTTTAAATAAAACATAAGAAAACCCAGCAGTTATCTACCCTGATGTTGTCTCCAAGATCTGACTGGTAGAGGATGAAGGAAACCAGGTTTCCAGTGGTCATCTGTCCACTCCGGATGAACAGCCTGCCGTAGTACATCATGACCACCTGCATGCCTAAGCCTGTCAACTGTACACACACACTGTTACATGAGGTGATGTACAAGTATACACTCAGAAGTACCTGTTGTACGAAAAAACTACAAACTTCTCACCCTGCGTGCGAGAAGGTAAACAGCGCTGACAGCGTTCTGGCGCGTCTTCAGGATGTGTGTGTCCATCAAGCGGTCGTCATAACGACGGGCTTCGTGTTTCTCTGTGTTGAAGCTACGTACCACATGAATACTGGACACCACCTCGTTCACGACTTCATTTGCCAGAGCAATGGAGTCGTGCACTGCCAGGGACAGCCGCTGGGGAGGAAGACAAAAGTCTTCTCAGTTTTAAGTCACGGGTGGGTATCTTATATTAGAAACGTTAAAAAGACGGATGCTCAGAAAATAAAATGTCCTAAAAGATCATAATGTGATGTTCAATTATGAAGTAAATAGAGGTTTTCATAACGAACTCCAGTGCTTGGAAAAAAACTACAGCTTTTGTCCACAGGAAGCGTCAAAATCAACACGAAAGGAAAGTTCAACATAAACGCTTTGAGTTGAATAAGATAAAGGGAAAAAAACAGTTATACATGTTATAATAATATATTGTCATCAGACTCAAAATATGGGCAATCAACAAATGTTGATTTTTGATTCATCGCATCATTTGTCTTTTAAAAGACATAAGCACCTTTCTGCTACATAAAATAAAATAGCTTTTTTGTGATGGAAAACAGGTAATCAAACGATCCTTTGGATCCCCGAGTTAATTCAATGTCTCTCATGAACCTGCCTTTCACCTGGTAGTGTGTGTCATAGATGTTCTGAATGAGGCTGGTGATGGGCACCTCCATCAATACCAGGAATGTGAGCTTCCAGGAAAGATTCATCATCAGGGAGATCATGCCCACACTGAAAAAAAAAGTCTTTTGAATTTACATGAAAAAAATATGTACATCGGTTGCACATATTATATTCATGTTTAGTCAAAATGATTCATTTCTATTTAATATACTTAATTTTTATTTGTAAAACAAACATGATTTTCTAATGTAAATTCAAAATATTTTATTAATGTTAATTGTATTAAATTATTCTGATAACCCAACTCATTTTTTTTGTGTTACTTTAAAATGTCCCTTTTATGTTAAGTGTATTCAATTCTCACCTATTGAAGCAACATGAGATTTTTATGTAAAGTATATGCAATGTTGTTCTGTTAAATTAACTTCCTGCTTCCTGCTCAAGTTAGTCTGATAATGATCCTGCATACTTTTCTGTATAAATTCTACATGGTAAAATTATTTCTGTATGGCGATTTCTACTAATCTCTTACCTACAGAATTTACTCCTTTAACATTTTTAAAATAAATAAGGCAAAACAAAAACATTTAGTTTACAACTGTATTGTCATAGAACAATAGAAGATTCAGTGTAATGTATACACAAACACATGCACACATTCACAAACAAATGTCATATTAGAACAAAGCACCTTTTTCTTTCACAAGAAACACTTGGTATGCAAGTTATCAAGAGTGTGTAGTAAACATTCATGACTGCTACAACCTGAGGCAACATTATTTTGGTCCTTAAAACACCTTCTGAGTTACATCAAACCAGCATCAAGAGAATACTATACAGCCAGGCTAATGCAGGAATGTCGTGCAAAATATGTGCAAGAAACATTACATTTACAATTTCTTAACAAAAGAAAAGGACACATGTAAGAACCATTATTGTCCTGGCAAATGTAGATCTTGTGCTTGAAAACTACATTTGGTTTTGAAAATAAAGTTAATAAAATAATTGTATTATTTTTATAATACAATTTTAAGAGTTATGGGTGGCTTTCCCACCACTACTATAAGTCAGTTAAGAATGTCCAAAATCCAAAAATCACCTCCAAATTTGAAAATAGGGTAAACGGTTGGAGGTCTATTAAACACATCTGACAAATGCTGACACTTAAATGAAAAAGGCACATGACCCTGAGAAAAAAAAGGAAAAAAAAATACACTACACTTGGTAGCGGCCCATCACAGAACATGCAGGTGACTGGTTCCAATAATCCTACTGAAAAAGCAGCAATGGTCCATATTCCAAAACAAGATGGTGAAACGGTTGTATTCATTTTGCCATCAAATGGCAACAGTTCACTGATGGAGTCTGTTTTTGAGAGCCGGGGCTTTCTTTGACAGTGTGTTGCCGTCCAGCTCCATCACAACCTTCTGGAGCACTTCGAACGAGTACTTAAGTTCAGGAGGGTAGTTGAGGTTCAAGGCATACATTAGGCAAAACAACATGGCAGCAAAGTGATATAACTGATCATG